TGGCAGCAGAATCCGAAGAACTGCGCGGAGGTGCGGATGCAGTGTTTGGCTTTCTCTTTTTGGTGGTTGTGAGTCGAGAAACGTTTATGAAGTGCTGAAGTATGATTCCGCGTCAACATTATACGTATTTTTGGAGGACACGGTTTTGAGGGGCGCAGCAGAAGCTGAAGTAGTGCAAGGAGGTTAGGAGTTGAGCTGACGTATTTGGGATGTTTTCCTCGGGTTCCTTTCTGTAATACTGGTTCCTCGAGCCTTCACGTCGTTCTTCTTTCGGGGCGCAGCAGAAGCCGAGTAGATTGCGAGGAGGTGGGCAGCGGGTTTCTGATTAGTATTTTCGTTTTTTAGCGAGATTTGGAAGATTCTCTCTGGTTGAAAAATCCCTCCGGAGCTTTCCAGGTTCTGTCCGGTTGAAAAAGTCCTCCAGAGCATCCAGGTTGGAGGTATCTCTCTTGTTAACGAGAAAGAGTGAACATTCTTCGATCAGTCTTAAGTAAACGAATCTGCATTTTCGTTGACATTCTCGTTAGTCCAAGCGAAACACAGCGATGTACGTATCAACATGGTCGTGACCTATTGGTAACGGCAGATAATTTGCAGGAATGCCTAGTACCTTCGTCTGGGAAAAGGAGTACACACACGTTGACTAGTCAGGGACCCTCTCTTGCCAGAAGGTTACGCCTGGAATCTTGCAGTCCCTTGGCCCTAGAAGTTGAAACCCTCCGGTTTGGTCGCGCAGGTGTTGGCGAACGACTACTTCATTGGGTCCGTCCGAGGGGAGCTGATGGACAACGCGCGCAACTACATCTTCGAGACCTACTGCAAAATTCACCAGTGCCTTGACACCAAGTGAGCCCTTCCTTCTATTGAGTCAGCATCTGGTGTCTCCACCTGCAGACTATTCCCTCATTGAGTCAGTAGGCATGCTCTCGAAGCTGGCGAGGAAAGCGCGAGACCATCAATTGATTAATGGCAGCCCTCAGCGTCAGTTCCTTGGATGTTGCGTCGAAAGGCCCCTGTTCATGGCCTGCACATCAAGAGGCAATAAAAGGCAATCTTTCCAAGCATTATGGACAACACAGACGAGGGCGTCCCCTCTCGCCCGCCTTTCGCCGAGACTCTTGACCACGTGCTGCCCCGTTCTGCGACTTGGAACAGCGGCTTGGTGGGCTATTCGTCGCTGCATTTTTGGAATCCACAACGCCCTGTTTAGAATGTGATTTTCAAATTCGCTCTGTGTACCCGCAGGATTCTATCCGAGAAGCTGAGCCTCAGCCCGGAGGACGCGGAGCGGTGGATCGTGAACCTGATCCGGCAATCGCGGCTGGAGGCCAAGATCGACTCCAAGGCCGGAACCGTCATCATGACCAACCCGCATCCCAGCGTGTAAGCCCCTCTGTCTTGGATCATTGCTTTGCGTTGCATGGAATTTGAGAGTTCAACCCGTTCCTTACGGCATCAGGTTGCGTTCCCATGGTTTTGAGCATTATTTGCTTCTCAGAGCGTCCACCTGATTGTCTTTATCCATCTGCGATGGGCGGGCTGTGAGAAGAGTTCGTGAGCAATCATTTGCGGAAGGACAACCAGAAACAAGCCGACGAACGTTCAGGGCTGAAGATTTAGATCTTTGCCGTGGAAGTTCTGCGGTGCCTGCATTCGCTGAGGGAGCGAATAAAATTCCAACCGAGCCATCAAGCACCAACTTGGTCTCTGCAAGTATGCAGTAGTGGAAACGGAGACTAATGTTTGTGCCGGCTGGCTGACTCGTGCTCTTTTGTTTTTCCAGGTATGAGCAGATCATAGAAAAGACCAAGTCGCTCACGGCTAGAAGTTTCCAGCTTGCCACCAATGTCACGGCAGCGGCTGCCGCCCAAAAGGCTGGCATCTGAGAAGTCGGAAGCTGCCATTCGATTTTGTCGGGGGGATTGAAGAAGTGATCGATTGTCTTTTGAAGATGTGTTATTTGTCATTTGATGTCTTCATGATTTCCATGCCTGTGCCGAGGTGACACTTTCTCAGACTGCGGTGGCATCGCCGTTCGACATTCTTATCAATCATTCTGGTGAATTAATCCCGTGGGTCGTATGCCTGACATAAATCTCGCTTTGGTATGCTAGCTTGATAAGACAATAGTTGGTGCCCATTTAATAAAAGCAGTGCCCAATGCGATACGACCATTCCAGACATGTCATGCACCTTTGTAGAGTAAGAGTGGGGCGCACCATGCATGCCGCGGCTCAATGATGATGATCAGACTGTCACGCAGCATCCGACACGCTCCAAGTTGATATTGATCCGATGATCAACCTTTGGCGGGCATGTGCTTGAGTGCACCATGAGTCTAGGTGCCAGCACGCGACCAATTACACTGTTGAAGGACCCGGCGCTTATAGTATATGACCAGACTATACCTCATGCAGCAAGTAAGTATATGCCACCGTGGCCGTGAGCTTTAATGATGCTGGCTAATCGGCACTGTACCTCGGATCGGATATAAGCGGCAAGTGCATACGTCAGGCATGCATACTACATACACATGCGAAAATGCTCGAGTGCTGGGAGGCGCCACAACCACTCCGGAATTCACAAGCAACCTATGGTGGGTATCGGCGGTCTCGATCGCGCGACGATCCGGTCACAAATTTGAATCACCGGTGTGTCGCGTCGCGACAATTACTGTACGCGGTACTGACGACCGTGCAGACCGGTACTTGAGAATCCGGTCCGAGTTCATAAATTAGAATCTGTCTGACATTCCGATCGTCAGAAACTTCCGGAGTTTCCGGCGGTACGGTACCGATCAAGTCTGACCGTACGTGAAATTTGAAAATCATGGTTTCGATCGGAAGTTCCGACTCGAACCACCCTAGAGTACCGCGGTACCTAACTTGAAAGGAGAGTGCAGAAGATGGAAACGGGAGTGTAGGGAATGGCGCTTTTTAGAAGCAAGCAATGGCGGCCAATTTGCAGCCACGATGGTGCTTCTTCCGATTTGTCCTCAACATAACAAGATGTTGGAGCTTCGAAGGAGCCTTCATGACGCTCTCCCAACATTTTTTTCTGCTTGTCAGAGGTTTTTATAAGCCTGCATATGGCTCTTCTTTGCGTGCCAATTTGATGCTCCTCTCAAAGTGTAAAACCTGACACTGTTTAAGAATCTCCTCACACTTACTTACGGCCCGGCAAAATTCTCTGAGTATTTGTACCGCCCGAGTAACATAAACCTGAGTAGCCGTGACGCGAACCGCCGGTAACACTGACGATATTCGATACGCGCTAAATCGATTTTGTGGCGGCCGGAGTCGGAATCGACTCGGCCGGTACCCACCATAGGTAGCTTGTGTTTGCGCCACCGGTTAAAAATAATTCACGATCGACGGTTCCCGCACCGTCGCGTATATAGTGTTTCACAGTGAATTTTTACCAGTAAAATATATTATTAGAGCCCGTTAACACCGTGCACATTCACCTGCACTAGGTTCCTGATCAACCAGAAATTCCTCAGTGTTAAGGGGCGTATGTTCGAGACTTTGACCGTTCACTTTTTCAAAGTAAGGTCTCTAGGTCGCGCTATAAATTGTAGAAGGTGGAAAATATACGGGCAAATTCGGCCTCGAGAAATCGCTAAGTCCGAAAATTTACCCTGAAACCAAACTCGCCGTACGACTCGGCACTGCGCCGGGACTTGCACTTAAAATTCAAGAGCCGCGCTAGACTGAAACAGATAACGACACAACCATCGTGAAAACTTATGATTCCTGGAAGGGTTGTGGCTCTCACACCGTCCTGATACGATAGAATCGTGCCACTTATCCGGCCGACAAGAGGCGTTCTAAAATGGTGCTCAACAGTCCTATGAACGTATATATGCAATCTAGGAGATCCGAAATCACGGGCTAACCCAATTACCGTACTAGGAAAGCGATCATAGTAGATTCGTTCCAGTCCGGATGTACCCACAATTGTTTTCTATAAGGCAATCTAGATTTTATACAACCTTTACACATCTACTCAACGGCTGGCTAGCTAGGCCCACGTCACTACAGTATCACAGTAGGGAGCTGAGTCTCCAAACTGAATTGAGACTCGGGCCCCAGTTGGCTCGTCGCGCTTTCAAGTTTTCCCGGCCACCCAAGCGAATCGATTTGTACATCTGAATTGTCCAACCGAAGGACACCTCTCATCGATGCTATGCAGCTAGACTTGAACCAGCTCTTGCCTTGCGCCATACCTTTCCCACCTGTAAACGACTCCGGGCTCCATCTGAATCGTCCTCTCCTGCACCGAGATTTTTCCACATCCCATGCATTCAAGGGAACGGGTCGGATAACCCTGGAGCTTGATTTCAGCATCCGGCCCCTCATAAAGATTCTCGCCTGTCTCAATGATCTCGTGTTCAGGGGAACCGAATCGATGGGCGAGTATAAACGACGATCCAGCGGGGACCCGCAGTTTTAGGGTTCTGCACCTACACAAGTAGCTTCCGAATACATTATAGCCCTCATTGGACCTAAACCCTTGAAGAAAACAATCGGTTGTTATTTCGTATCTAGACTTCTGATCAAATTTAAGCTCCTTGATTGAAACATGAAGGCGGTCCGTCTCTGGAGCTCCTACCGCGGAGCAGCTTTTCGTCGAAACGTATTCTCCTATGTCTAAAATGACCTCCTCCAAGTTGGGGCAGGGCACCAAGGCGGTCATGAGCCCCGCCAACTGCTCGTCACTGAAACCAATCGCGACCAGCTCAAAGCGCCGCAACGCTGCGCATGCGGGCGGGAACAGGCTCTGAGGCAACCACTTGGGTCTCGGAAAGATGCGGTCAACGACCTTCAACCGCTCTACTCGTCCCTCTGTTTTGGCGAAGAAACGGCAGAGTGCAAAGCGCTGCTCGATCTTGGTCATGGGGGCAGTCGTGAGGTTCTCCACTTGCTTGGATATGAGCCTGTTCCAGCGACGGCAGACCAGGGAATAACGGCCGATCTGGTCGCCTACTTTCGCTAAGATAGCCTACAGAAGATCGTCGTTGAGACCGTCAATGGTTTTGCCCGTTGCAAGCAGCCAACAACAGCTCTGTACAGATAGTATAGCCTTCTACGCAGCCGCTTTTGGCGGTTCGAAGAGAGGAGTCGAGAGTATGGAGCAGGCTAGGAAGCGATGTAGGGAGGTCGCGATCGGACTGAGATCGAAACGAAGACAAGAGCCCCACGAAGCGATGGATGGGAAGCTGGCAAGGACATTCTGGCGAGAAGACAGGCTTGGGCGCCAGCTACCGTCTTCAGGAGCGGATTGGATGTCGAGCCGTACAGGCTTGAAAGACGGACAAACCGGCATGCGAGCATGCAGACACTATCAGGATCATGTCCTGATGTCGACACTCCGCCGATGAAAGCTGTACTCCCTGTCCAGTCTCCTGAAAATCTTGTTATACGGGCCGGAGTACCCTGCTATTGTTCAAGAATTGAGAAGCTCGTTTGCGAAGAATGTGATGTGACTCGTTTGTTCTAAGCACACCGCAATGGAGTAGAGCAAACGAAGGCCTGCATGGGCCCAAGCTCTGAAAGCTCCCGACAAGTCGTGGCTCCATTTTGACGTGGCCTCACTTCACGTGTTATCACTGATTGGCTTCTGAGGAGGATTGAACGAAGCGTCGAATGCCTGAAGGCCCTGCAAAGGCGAACACTTCACGGAAGCGGCGCCTCATTTGGCGTCACGAGTGCACTTATTGCATGACTAGGCAAGGTTTCTCGATGTTGTTTCTCCAGAAGTAAGAAAGAACTTGCAAGACAAGCAGTGCGTCATCAGATTTAGTGCTGAGCCCATTGCATAGCTCTGCATGATCATATCATGAGACCTGAATATGGCCGCTGGTTGCCTGATGCATCAAAGAATACATGAATTATGAGGCATCCGTTTTGAACATGATCCGTATGTCCGTAGAAATGACGTACGCGTAATTTGCTCCCTCTCTCCCTCAGTAAAGCAAGGCGCTCGGTGCAGAGAGTTGTATTTCACTCAGCTGTCGGATACATCACTTGACGGAGAAATGGCGTGCACTGATCATTTGTAGCTTCGACAACTGAATGAACGTCCAGGAAGTCATCCGTTGAAATACCTATACCTCCAGAATCCAAAAGCCCCAAAGAATATTAGTAATCCCTTGAAAGCATCATTAAGATTCATCCCTCTGCAAAGGTCCCAAGGTCAGCAGGCCTCACGCAGGCCTCAGCGGGGCCTCAGCCAACACGAGTCATCAATACTGTCAATATTGACGACCGCTTTGGCGCTGAGGAAGATTGGGCCAGCTGATCAAGGATGGATCTCGCTGAACAAGATGAGAAATTGGTGATATAATCGAGAGCAGTGAAGATGTGAACTTTGATGGACGGTTTTATGTATAAGCGAGAGGACCTCGAGAGGATTGAGCGGTGAGAAAACAGGGTGAGAACTTTGAGAGCGGACAGGGAAACTTGCGAAGGCACGGTACCCTAAACCCTAAACCATTGGAAACCCTAATCCGCCTAGGTAAGCTGCTAAACCACGTGTTAACCCAGCAGTTCCAAGGTTTGGCGCCATGGTGGTGGCTGAGCACGTACCAGCCTAAGCCTAAGGCTAGCCTGGCTCTCCTGAATGTGAGGCTCTCCTGAATCTGAGGCTGAGGAGCTTAGGAATCTAATGGGTTTTTCACTCGAGGGCCCACCTGGAGGGGGTTGTTCGTTGGCGCCTGCTGGCCGGCCTGTTACTGGCTTATCCCTGAGGTGCACAGCCGTCAAGTACGGCTCTCTGTGCCTGGGTTCCTCTTCCCAACTGAGCAAGGAGTGGCACTCCGGCACCACCAATGGGGTCCTTCTTCAGTTCAAATGCGCACACCGAGGCCCCTCCTGAGGAGACGCCAGGAGCGGAAAGTGGTCAGCCCCTACCTAGCACAGCGACCGGCGCCGAAGTGCGTCCTCAGAAACGTTATAGAGTGGAGGAAGATACAATTATCTCACCAAAGAAAGTAAAGCCGTCACATTTGGACCTGTCAAAGTACAAGCTGAAGGAGCTAGCATTTGGGTCTCAGGGGGAGGAGGCGACAAAGCTCCCAAAGCAGGTTGAAGACGTTTCGCAGGAGGGGGCACCCGTCGACTTGGCGAGAACGTATGTCTGGTATGCATCCTATGGAAGCAACCTCCTGGAGGAGCGATTTATGTGCTATGTGAAGGGAGGCAAGGTGAGCGTTTTGTTCACAGATGAAGATTGTACGGGTCAGGAATTTATCTCAGAGGTCATGACTGTGTTTCAGTCCTCCTGTAGGGCAGTGGTGCTTTCCCCTTCTGGAGCTCCGTTAAATGCATATGGACTGACATCTACCAGCTGAATATCAGTTTGCAATGTCACGACTGCAATGCAAGCTGCATCACTGTTGCCCTCTAAGGCCTGTGACAAAAATGTGTGCAATGTGCCTGTGTGCGCTGTGGTAATATGAATAACAAGTTGAACACCGCTGCTTACCAAGCTCCTCGTTATTAAGGCCTGGTAAAGGTGTACTTTTGGAAAGACGATTGAAGCACAATGCAGGTTCCAATCTCAGGCATTGCGGACTTATGCTGCACCTTACCTGCTCATACCAGACACTTTCTTCACTGCAGTGATATTCTCTTTAGCAGGGTGACTCTTTATAAAATAAGAGACCTGCATTCCGCGGGCCTGTGTATAGAGGCTCTCATTGGTGTACAGTAGAGAGAGTCTGGGTTCATCGTAAGTCACGCTGGTCTTGCAAAGTGGAGCGCACAGGAGAACTCGGAAGCTACCTCTATTGAAGTGTTTCAGAGTAGACTCTTTGACACCTTGCACAATTGGACCACCGCTTTACCTCAGCTTCCTTCCTAGCGGCTTTTGTCCATAGTCTCACAGACCGTTCGTCTGCTTATGTAGCCACTCATTAGTCGTGCACCGTGAAGGACCGACAGGAGAACCTACATAAAGATTCTACGGAAGAACATACCTACAGCGATCAACAGGTACTCATAGAAGCTGAAAAGACGTCGGAAGTTGTTCCCATCCTGCACTCTGTGGTGACGCAAGGCTTATCTTCTCATTTCCCCGCAGACAGAGTCCATGGCCATGTCTCTAGCCCCCTGCTCGGACCCCACCCCTCCCACCGCAATCGACGCGTTTGTCGTCCCTCACCGGCTGTTCTTTGCGCACGAGAAATCTGTCACGTGGGGCGCCGGAGGGGTGTCTTTCATCACCTCAAAGGAAACCCCAGACTCCAAGACCATCATCCGGGCGTATCGCGTAACGTGAGTCTTCTTACCACTGTGGTTGCATGCTTTATGCAACACATTCTTTGATCCAACAAGATGGAGTTCGCGTTAGCCTTGCCAAAATTCAGGCAACGGGTCCAGGTTTCATGATGACAGGGGTCAAACTGGGAATATGTGGAATCAGAAGCATACTGATGGATCTCGAAGGTACTTCATAAGGCACCTGGAGAAGTTGCCCGGACTCTCGGATAAAGAGGGCAGGATGTTTTTGGGGCATATTTCCATCAGACTGTTCATGTCCGGTGTCCCACCAGAGTCACAAAAACCTTCTCTTGCAATTCGAGCAAGTCCACGTTGCCAAACAGGTTAAGTGACGGATGGTAAACAAACCAGTTTCCCACTTTTCAGCTGGTCTTGGTCAATAGCGAGTGCTCGCTATCCCCTGAAGTTGTCCTAAACTCACAAAGCCTTTTGACTTTCTACCGATGATGGCTTAAGCATTCTTCCCGCCTAGTTTTTGTATGGGTGCTGACCCCATGGAGTCTGTTTGCAGGCTCCAGCAATTCAATGAGGTCGCTCGGAAGGAGAACTCCGCATCTGCACCCGTCGGAAGCGTCTGTGTCAGCCCGGAGAATCTGGTCCAGCTGCGCGCGCGCGACGAAAAGAGCCTCAAGCACAACGCCCTTGACTGCGTGATTCAGGTGAGTGTGACGTCTAATCTTTTCAGCGGTGTTGCAGGAAAGAATAAGGCGGCAGATAGGAGGAGACGAAGCAACAGAAAGGAAGCAGGAAACACAAAACAGAAGGCGGAGTGGTGGCGGAAAGAAGGAAAGCAAGACAAGCTTGATTCTGTTGAGACAAAATCTGGACAGGAAAGGGTAAAAGCGAGTTTGGAGCGTTGAAGCCACTTGACGTTCCGAATAAGCTTGAAGGAATTAAACAGATATCAGTCGATCTATCGTTGCGGGGGGGAGAACGTGTTTGGCTCTGTTTATTAAGGACTGCGTCGGGAAAGCGAGCTGTGAAGTCCGGATGACCAATCGCCTCGAGTTCGGTGATTGGAGCTGCCAAACGACTGTCCTGTCTGCGTGATTCCTCGTGTGCCACTCTGAATCCGTTCGCTGTGCCGCCTGCAGAAAGGCAAGTACCGGACGGTCAAGTACTTGGGCGACTACCAGGGGGAGCCCGTGCTGACCTTCACGTGAGTACCCCTGCCCTGTGTCAAAACAACAAGACATCAGTGGCTGCAAACTGCTGGTACTCTGTCTTCGAGTCATAGGCCAGCCCGTGATGCGAGGAAGTGTCCTTATTTGCACGATGTGTTGGTCGCCCGTCGGAAATCTTGCTCACTTGCTCTTGCTTGATATTTGCTGAAAGATGTTTCCGGTCAATCATGATATTGCATTAAAGCTCGAGGACCAATCGGTTGCTCCCTGGTTCAAATGCCGGCTTGTCTATTGGAACCACGCCTTGCAAGGAATCAAGGCTGAAATATGGGACCACTGCACCAGTGCACAATACCTATTTCCGACTCGCTTTTTCGTCAATCGTTCAGGGCCTCGCACCAAGAGCAGGAGGAGATTGCGAGCGGCCACGTGCCCCTCGTTTCCCCCTCGGACAAGTACCGCGCGTGCATCGTCCAGGGACTTGTCGAGGTCGGGCTCTCGCGGGAGGACGCGGAGACGTATGTCGAGGTGCGGGCGTCAACCCCGCTTTCGGAAACGACGGGTTAAAGGCCAGCAGGTAAAGGTAGACAAGGGCGCAGGTGCTGTATAAAATCTGTGTAGTGTCTTGGTTAGGAATTTGTTTTAGTTCTGGAAATTAATGTTGGCCATGGGTGATGCCAGGGTTATTAGCCGACGAGCGTTGCTGTGCGTGTCGTTTAGGGATTTGGGGATGTTTGATAGTCCTCAAGGAGTGCTTAAGGTGAGAAAGGGTACAAATGGGCGGGAAAGACGAGCGTGAATGAAGAAGGGAGCCGAGGCCACTTGAACAACAACTCGTAGCAACAGACGCGGTCTGAACGGGCGGGCTCCGTGTCTCATTGGTGAACACATTAGAGCTTCCACCTCTGCCCTGTGGAGTAAGGGACACGACGTGGGGTCTAGAACGCTCTTGAGAAGGCACTGTAGAGGAGTCGGATCGTCCTGGAAACTTTGAGGAAAACACTTCGTTTTCAGCCAGCTTCTTGATGTAATTTATGCAACTTAGCCTGGGGTTGACTACGCTATTGAAGAGACCTATTGAGATCCTGCAGGCTAGCTATCAGTTTTGCATGGTATTGACAAGGAATTATTGATAGCTTGCAGAATAGCGGTCAGTCAAACTTCCTAGGGCTATGAGCCTGGTGGTGCTTCTTTATGAAGGTCGGTAGTTGAGTCGATTGGATCAGCTATAGGTAAGGTAAACATGAAAGAAGGGCGATGAAGCTACCGCGTACTCGCCATGCAAACCACTAAACAACCGGCTTCCTATGTTTACCCTGATTTCGGCTACGCAAGCGAATAAAGCTCCAAATGGTGAGTGATTGGTTTGGAACTGCGTCCAGCCGAGTAATTGAATGAATCTGCCAGTGAGCCGCAATGAACGATACCAAACAAGTGATGGTTGTTCAGCTGCGATTTGATCCCAACATGAACCGGTATTCAATCAAGCATGCACATGTGCCGCTCCCAATAACCGGCCTGAAAAGTCATGCAGGCGGCCCTACTATAAAGTCATGATTCCACCATGCAGCGATGCCAGCTGAGCGGCCGTTGCACACATATATCGGTTGTACGTGCTGCCGCATATAATTCCGCATGCGCGCGCTGCCGGCAACTAGCTACTAACGTACATGCATCCAAGCTGCACCGGCGAGCTATATATGAATTCGAGGCCGCCTCAGTTTAGAGCTGCATATAGGAAGACGTACCCAAGTTGCGCACTGCAGCTAACTTGAAGATACGTGATCATGCCCAGCCTGGCTGGCGCTTATACCAAGTATCTAGTAGTCAATAAGCATGCATGCATAACTTGTGAATCATGAAACGTACGTCGGCATGCTATGCGCGCGCACCTCACCATAAGACTGCAGTCAACATAATTAGTTAATTCAGCATCATTGCGCGCCGAGCTAGCTATGGTACTAGGTGTCGTTATCTTCCAACTACATGCGTACCAATGATTAAATCATATATGGCGCCATATATGACTTAAATTGCGCGGCTGCAGCATATGGGCTTATATGCCTGACGCATGCGATTATTGAATAGCTCTAGCCGGATCGATCAGCTGTCAATTTCAGCATCAGACTAAACGATCGATAGATGACCATCATGATCCAAATTCAGGTGCAGATGTATTGTCGCGCATTGAACTTTCGTCAAGGGTGCATGTACCGCCAATTGAATATGACTCTGCAATGAAGTGGCGATACTTCGTGATCTTCGCAATTGAGACGGCCAGTTAGATCCATGTATCGAAGCACGACTGAGAAGCTAAAATGAATATGTTACAGAATTAAAAATGGAAATTTTACGAATGAAGCAACTCTTACTCTGCTTCCCCATCACTCTCGCCCCCAAACATCTGCATGAGCCGCATTGCATACCGCGCTGCCTCCTCCCGTCTGGCCCCGTCCGGCAGCCCCGACAAGCGGTCCCTTACGCTCGACATCTGGTGCATGATCCGCTCCATCTCCGCAAAGTCCGAATCCCCTTCGTGCTCTACCTCCCGCATAGCCGCGGCCTCGTCTAAATGCAACGAAGCATTCCCGTTTAAATCCTTCGCACGCTCTTCAGACGGAACCGGGTTGACCGGCCCGGCGGAATCCTGCCCCGACGGTTGCGCACGGGAGTCATCTGCAGGCACGCCATTTGATTCTTGCACAGGCACGGCTTCACCACCGATAGGCGTTCCGGCATCGCTCCGCTCGGTCTGAGGCGCAGCCGTAGCAGAAGGCGCGCCGACCCCCGCTTCCTTTTCCGCTGGCTCTGCTTCCGCCCCGGACTTTTCTTTCCTGCCCTCCTGACTCGCACTTTCACCTTCCTGTTCCTTGGCCTCGCGTCCCGTATCCCCGCCACTCCCCCCCGCTTCCGACGGGCCTTCTCCACCCCCCCCGCGCAGACGTCCACTCTCACCGGTTCCGACGCCCCGGCATTCCGTTCCGGCGACAGCCCCCCCCTCCCGCCGTCCTCCTCGAGTAACTCGTACTCGGTCGAGAAGTCGGACTCGTCGCCGCTGGACAGCGCGCGGGGAGGCCGCGCACCCGGCTTGGGCTTCATGACCATGCTCGGCCACATGTGCGCGTGCAGCGCGCTGCGCAGCCGCGCGATGCCCTGCATGTCGCCATCCACCGAGATCCCTGCATGCAGAAAAGTGTATTGGAAATTGGGAAACGCTACCCTCGAGCTGAGAGGCTGCCACAACTGCTTTTCGGTCTGAAACTACGGTCAGCACCTCTTCCAGAACGTAGGACTTATCAATGACAGGTGATTTTGTGAAGAGCGGCTTCTCGTGAATCTAAATGGAGGGCTTCATAACTACGCCCGGCCACATGCGCCCATCCACCGAGATTTCTGAAGAACAGGCTATAAATAAATGACGGCTTCTCGAGCTCAAATCACTGAGAGACTGCTTTTCGGATGCAAACCTACAGTCAGCACCTCCTCCAGTGTGTAGGAAATATCTAGACGTTCCTTTCCTCTCTTGCAGTTGTTCTGGATACCATATATCGCATTGACGTCCAGGAAGAAGGATCTGCGATGAGAATCGAAAAGCTGATACTGGAGAAGAATCGCGTTTCATGAGTTTGATTTTTCGAACCGTACTGTCTATGTTGAAGCAGTGAGGAGGGAGGCGTTGATGTAAGCGCCCCGTCACGGTGTCACGTGGCAGCAGAAACTACGACGTTGCAGAAATATTTATCGGGCTGGCTGAAGCGTACTAGAAAATGACCTTGTTCGAGCAGAATACTGAACGATGGCTCACACACCGGTCCAAGGCCACCTGACTCCGTTAGACATCTCCCAACTGCGTAATTCCAACTGAGCGCGAGAAACCCGAATGGTATTTGTCGGTGTTCTTCTCGGGGATGGCAAAACACAGCTGACGTAATCTGCGACGCTCCTTCAGGTAGAACGTCGATTAGAGTGGGCTACATGAAGAGTCCCTCACGTTGGTCGAAGTGCTCGTCCAGCGTGCACGCCTCGATGTACTCCACCCCGTTGTCCAGGCACCACTCCGAGTACTCCTGCCGCCGGACGTCCAGAGCCTTGGTTGGGCGTCCGAATCCAACGGACGGTTCATTCGCGTCCGATGAGTCCCCCGCCTGGTGGCAAAAAGATAGAGGTTTCAATCTCGTTTATAAATGTTCATTAACACTGATTTACTGCCTGACCTTTTTGTGCACCGAAAGTCGTGCCTATTGGTACCAGATCGTGACTTTAAGTGGAGAACTTCCCCCTTCCCCTCACAAGGATTCGGGCCTGTTGTTCCGTGTGCAATCGTTGACCTTACTTGCAAGTCCACCAGCGAAAACGATGAACAACGGATAGGATAGAAGACCTGGCAGCAAAGTAGACACTGTTGTTTTCCTGGAATAAACAATCGATGCCGAACAAGGGCCGATTTGTACACTACCCAGGCTAGTGCCACGCCTGTCCTGTTCAGGAGAGCTGCTTGGGGTGCACCAAAGAGCAGAAGTAATAGGATATGCTCCAAGGACAAAGCTATGCACCTTGAGAGAACCTTTTTATCTGTATGGTGTCCCGCACCGGACGAGACAAAAGCGTTTGCGGCTTGGAGAGATCCTTTTGCGGTCAAGACTTTCACATCCACCAGGCGGGACAAACGTTTGCGATTTGGGAAATCCTTTTAAGATGAAGAGTTTCACGTCCACCAGGCGGGAGAAACGTTCACGCTTTGAGAAGTCTTTTTGGGGTGAAGAGTCTCACCTCCACCAGGCGATGCCTCTGCTCCCATTGCAGCGGCCTCTCTTGCTGCAGGCTGTCGTGCGCATGGTGGTCGGGGACGAGGTCCGCCTTGTTGGCGATGCACAGCAGGACGTCAAACGTCGCAAGGTCCAACGAGGAGGCCCAATCTTGGACGCTTGCGAACGACGCCTCCTAAAGAAAAAGGTAAATAAGACCTCTTGTCAGATCTCTGCTAAAGTTGAATCTGACTACGAAGGGCTGCCTATCTGGAGATCTGCTTCTGATTACTAGCAGGTATGAGCATGAGCAAGGCGAGTGGTAAGCTTGCTTTGCAGGGTGCGACAGTTCTTGCTTTGTTCTCTGATTGCATCAGCACCTTTGCCAATCACCAGAACGGAGCTGATAAGGGCTGATAAGACGAGTTTGCGAGCGAGGCTCAGATACTCTCGCTTGTTCCCTTGTCACAGCTCCAAAAGATATCACAACATCCCTCAAGCCAAATATGTTGGAGTGGTGTTTGGGTATGTGTGGTGATCGGGTACGAAAGCAATCAACATTCCTTACCTCGCTCAGATCAAAGACCAGTACAAGTGCGTCGCAGCCAGCCGCAAGGGCCTGAGCTTTTGCCGTGTCTTCTAACAGGTCCTCAGAATGCGACACCCACAGGTTTACATCCGCTGTGTAGTATTTGGTGTCAATGGACCACCTGCAGGCCGGAATACATGCTTTCAACACGTTGAAAGGATCGGTGATTCCCAACCACTATTTCCTTACATGAGGCCAGCTGAGACTGTAACTTTGTGCAGTTCTCAAACCAGGTCCCTCAAACCGCGCGGCGAGCCTTGCTACAGCAACGAAGGACACCAATCCTAATAGCACCAAGTACAGCAGTCTATTAGGACCGGCCAAGGCAGAATAGATGTAAGACACTCCTGATAAAGAGCCTCTTAGAAGATCAGACAAGCAGAGAGAATCTGGAAAAAGCAGAACATGGTCTCAGCTTTGATGTTTGAGCGACAGAGCAGAGGTATCTGCACCTGTGACTGGTGACCACGCCTCCTGGTATGCTCGTTTGTGCGCTCTTTGCACCTCTCACAAGTCCTGCATCAGAAGAAAGACAGGCGTATGCATCTCAGCTCAGAGTGCAGTTATGTTTGGGTGTATACATTCCCATCAGCCAATTGCCATGAGCTTGCAAGAGCAGACCCCACAAACAGAAGTCTTACATAGTTGGTATGCAATCAAGTGAATACAATTCATTATCCAAGAATGGAGGTGACCAAAAACACCACAGGAAAGCAAGCCACAAAATCCAAGAGACACAGTCAAATTGTTAGGCCAGGAGGTCAACAACCAATCAGCGCCCACAAATTCGCAGCAAAAATCCGCAATTAATGATGACAGGGCACATACGAGGTGCAGCCAGACCCAGTTCTCACTCACGGCGGACCAAAGATCGTTTGCCAACATCCTTAGGGCCCACCACCAGGATACTTGGCCGCTGCGGATTGTCTGCTGCCGGAGCCTCAACTGCTTCAACGCTTACGCCCATCTTGGCCTGCTATAGTCCTACAGGACGCTATGTCTCACAGAGTTGATTGCGCCCTGTATCCAAGAAGTGAGCTGGTTGAATTTCCATCAAAAAATCCTAAGGTGCAAAGCCTCCAATTAGGGTTTTGAGGGAAGGCCGACTTTGCTTCGTAACGCTACGGCTGGCTGAGCGGCGGCGTTACACCGCCACAAATGTCCATGAACTCACTTCCATGCAGACTCTGATGATCAGACTGATCAGATTCCATCTAAATACGGTACCTAGCTCTGTTCTTCAGCCCTCGAACAGGGCGACGCCGACAGCAAAACGTTCAGCTGCGGAGCTGTCCTTCGTCCACAAAGGACGCATTGCTTCAGTGAAAGGTCCCCGCATGTGTCCCACTTGACACTTTTCTCTTGCACAAATGTTGTCTCCAAAGCGGGGCAAGTCGGGTTTTTGGGACCGTCAGACAGGGGGGCTGACTCCCACAAAGTTTGCACGCACAGCTGGCGGGAGCTTGGTGAGTTGTTTTGCAGAGCTGGGAGAATCGAGGATTCACAATTTCCCAAAGAAGACCTTTCTGTAAACCACTTGTTGTGGAACTTACACAGCTCTGCCGGATTCTGTCATCCTCCCATGGTTTCAGCAGAGCGCCGAAGATTCTGATTGTGCAGTTTCCCTTCTTCAATACCGTGGGATGGAAGTTTCAGTCCGTTGATGAATGCATTGGAGAGTCTGGTGCAACTCTGCTGCATTCAGGATTGTCACTGCTTTTAGATTGCACTTTCTTCAATAACTTTCTTTTGAGCATCAGGTTGTCAAGATACTTTCAAGTCCTTGTCAAAGCCGTCATACTAACGGTCCTGGACTGATACTAATACTCTGTTGGAGTTGTTCACCATCATTGTAAGATACATTCCAGTGATCACACAGGTGTTCACTTGCACCTATGAAGTGTGCGATTCAGTCTGCATGGAGTGTTCATCGTAGAGGACATTTTTCGACCCCACCCACTCTCTATGTTCTCTCGTCACTTGCATGTTGAAAGGGTCACTTTGACAATGCATCATGTAGGAAGGTCCCTTTCCAGGCCGTGTCCCCAGGGATCAGCGAGAATCAAACTGGAGGCCAACATGCTACTCTATAAGGTTTTGTAGACAGCTGGAGTCAATTTGCAGCGGTGATCATTAGGATCATGGTCATCAAGCATCCTTCATTTCTTGATGGCACAATCTAGTGCAAGCAGTGTCAGCAACAAATGGAAGGGGGTCGATGTTGCATCAAGCAGACTCCAATGACCCAGGGTTTGATTAACCTTGCATTTTATGCATAGAGTGACCAATAATTCATACCTGCCCAAACTGGGCTTTGGTCCACAGCCCACTCCGCAACAGCATGGCCACCCATGGCTGTTTGATACCTTTCACACCCTATGAAGTGTCCAGGTCAACACTTGCAGCCATATGATTTGAAAAGCTAAGATGATCAGATGATTTGTCAGTAGTACTTGTATCCGCACCCAAAACTCTGAAGTCTGAATGACCTGTCAGGACCGATCAACGAAGTCTGAGCATCACATCACAGCTCAAAAACATTTGCAAGCTTCCAGTCTTTCACGCACCACTTTTCCTCAAACTATCTTCTTTGCTGATCCTGTTCATTTCTTCGCCTCTCTTTCTGCAATTGCAGTCCTTACATCATCAGAATTCAGTCCTCAATTCGCTTCTGAAGCGACAACCGCAGTAATGATCCTGAGGGACAAATACCTTCCGTTTCTCTCCAGGATGTCATCCAACGTCTGCGTCGAGAGGCTGTTCTAGAGGGCCACGAGGGGTGCGTTAACACCGTCTCGTTCAATAGTACGGGCGAGCTTCTCTTCTCGGGATCCGACGACCGCCAGATCATCGTGTGGGACTGGGAGGCCAAGCAGAAGAAGCTTGCATACGACTCGGGCCACCATAACAATGTTTTCCAAGCACGCCCGATGCCGTTCACGCACGATAGGACCGTCGTCACGTGCGCAGCGGACGGGGAGGTGAGCCGGAGGAGGAAATTTTGTTTCGAAATTTCACTCGATTATGTCCTTCGTCTGCTTATGTCCTTTCTCAAAACCGGATCCCCTGCATCACTGATTGAAGTGTTGAGTTTTGGACGTACCCTCTAGATTCTGCAGAATGACATCGGCCGTCGCTTTATCTGAGAAGAACACACTTGGTTTGTCCGCTCCTTTCATGACTTTGTCTGGAACCTCCCAAGCCCGATGATGTGGATACTCATCGCATATTCCAAAAATGTGACTTCTGTCTTCGTCTCCTGCGGGCCTTGTCTGCATCTGAAATTCTGATCGGTTCAGCCCCTTGACATCCTCACTTTTTCCGAGTCAACTGGAGATGCCATCCCTACAAAAGCCCGCAGGCATTCACAAACCCGCCGCTAAAGCACATGGGCCTTCTTGACAATATTGCAACGATGCTTCGGTTGGTGGGCCGGTGGGTTCAGTGTCAGTTTTCCGATTTCACTGCTCCACAGGTTTGGCCACACTCGTTGAGAGCGGCCATTTCAGAAATCAGGAAGGACGCTCTCGGTTCTTGGGCCGTTGGCGCTAATACTCCTCCGTCTCTCTCAAGGTTCGCGTGGGCACAATCTTCGAGAGCGCCCGTTTGATTGACATCTAGGTACGAAGCTTTGTTGGGCCGATAGGCACAGTCAGGTTCTTCGTGTCCTCTGTTCTTCCGGAGGTTCATGTCGGCGAATTCTCCGAGAGCGACCGTCTGATACTTGAGGTACAATGCTTATAACTTCTGGGCCGGCGCGGACAATCAGAATGTAATTCCCCACCATCTTTCTGCAGGTTCGCGTCGGCACAATCTCTGAAAGTGGTGCGTGCGAGACGCGGCGGCTGGGGAAGCACAGATACCGCGCGCACAAGCTGGCCATCGAGCCGGGCAGCCCCCACATGTTCCTCAGCACGGGGGAGGACGGTTTCGTCAAGCATGTGAGGTTTTGTTTCTGTTAAGGCGGATGATTCTTGGCAGGAGATTCCAACAAAGTCCGCTTTCAGGTCCTGAAACTTAGGAGGCTGGAAAGCAGAGTTGGAGGCGTTTGGGCGTGACCGATCTGGTCTTCTCGAGAGGCCGATGCGTGAGCCTTTCGCCTTGTTGTACGATGATGATACCTTCGATCGGAGGGTGGTGCTCGTTTATTGGGCTGTGCCAGAGGCTCTGCTCCGACTTGCGGTCCGTCGTCGTGTGGATGCCGAGCTCTGGAGAAGCTGATGCTTATTCATTTGAGTATATCCGTTCTGCTCAGACAGGAAGGGGTTCCGAAAGGCTGGAAAGACCTGTGCCCTCCAATGAAGCTGTATCCAGGTCTCGTGCCCCTGTGATAGTCCAACTTTCCACCAGCACTTCTTCTCCAGTCCGGTCAGTTCATCAACGCAACCACTTGTTACGGGTCTCGTTACTGAATCACGATCACAGGCGCCCGTTGAGCACAAGAAGGTCTCCATTGGCACGAGCAGGGAAGGCAGCCCAAAATGGTTTTTCATCGGCTCATGTCTGCGGTTTGACTTGCTTTGAGGAGGAGGAAACCCAAAGAGCCAGCCCGCCCCTCGAGAGCTCACAGCCCACGTGTCAATGTCCTCTGGATCGCTCCACAGCCAACGTTTCTCGATTTTTGGCAGTTCCACAAATCTTCGCAGTTTGGTTTTCGGGACGACAACCAGACGCGCACGCCTACCTGCATTTGCACGTGAGCTGACTTTTCCTTTTTCACTTTTCCCTCTCCAGAATCTTCATGTACGAAATGTACGAAGTTCTCGAAAGACATGAATCACATCAGTAAACTTTTCAAAAATAAAAATATTCACACTTGATTTGCCAAATGCAGTTCGACCTGAGGGAGGACAACCACACGCGCATGTTCCGGTGCGGTCCCGTGGACCCGGCTCGGCGCGCGCACAGCCCCGCTCTCGGCGGCAGGGGAACCGTCGGCCTCAACAGCGTCGTCATCAACCCTAGAAACACCAACCAGTTTGCGGTCGGCGGGTAAGTATCCTTTTTCGAATCGGCCGTTCCGTGAACATAACTATATGACTTTTACTAAGACCCGTCTCTTGAGACTCCAACAGTGTCGTCATCAAACCCTAAAACCAACAACCAGTTTGCGGTCGGCGGGTAAGTTTGAAGTCGGTTCAACGGACACTTATCAAGCTCGGCTAGTAAGGCCTCAAAGGCGTCATAGTAAATCTCAGGAAATACCATTCGCGGTTGGGGGGGTATGTATCGTGTGTCGACTCTTTTTCTCGTGAACATACTTCTATGAGTTTCTAAGACCCGAGGATACTAAAAGCTCAAGAGAGTGTTATTGATTTCAGTATAACGAGCCTGTTCGCGGTCGGCGAAAAGTGTCGTTCATCGTATCTTCGCTGCAGCAGACAAGTAGCATGTATGGGTCCTATGACCTCATCAGCATCGTCACGAATCCCTCATCGGCATCGTCACAAATCCCAGAAACACGGACCAGTTTGCGGTTGAGGGGTAAAGCTTCAAGTATCTAAGTCCGTTTCGGTGGATAATACTCGGTGCAATATCCTTGAACCTTTGGAAAACCCTAGGAATTCCTTAAACGAAAATAGCATACCTTGATTCCTCAAAAGGAAAGCCTGCGAGCTCCCCTCAACCCCAAGAGTGCCGACCAACTCACAACCAGGAGCTACTTCTGACCGCCCGGTTTTCATGTCGTGAGAAACTTTGGGCCCTCACTCTCGTATCACAAACCTCAGGGATCAAGCGGTTTTGGCCTGGAGGATTATGTTTGGCAAACATCCCATCCTGGTCAAATCGTTGAAATTGTGTGCGTGCATTGTCCCGGTCGTTTCCGGGGCGCACAAACAGTTGACGTGCATGGGTGAGTCACACTCGGCTAATGACCGGGTCAAAATCCGCTAGTGTCTCCAGCACACATCTGGAACGGTTGTCTTGCTGATCCTACCTCACTGACTTTCTGACGCCAATCTTCTTCATAAACTTTGGACACACCGAACCACTACGCCTAGAAACAAATCTTTTCCAAATCCCCTCCAGCTCCGACCAGTACGCCCGCCTATACGACCTGCGCCGCCCGGCGGGGGGGTCCCTCCTGCAGGAGGACGACCCCCTCGCCACGTTTTGCCCGCCGCACCTGGAGTCCAACGAGCGCAGCGTGCACATCACGTGCGTCGCGATCTCGCAACAGGAGGAGGTGCTCGTATCATACAACGACGAGCTCGTATATCTATTCCAGCCCAACCAGAGCCGAGAGGCCAGGCTGCGGACGTCCGCGGAGGCGCCGATCGTTCGGACGACCGTAGCGGGTGAGCTGGCGGACTAGCTCCGTTTGCTGTTAGGGTCTCTGCTTATTGAGTTGCACCTTCGATGTGAGAGACAATGGTTTTAACGGTTCAGCGGTTTAGCATACTCAGCCCGTACCAAAGTTGCCCCACCGTTACCATACATTCGTGTCGTCCATCGTTGAGAACATTGATCGAGTTGGATCGGCAGGATCAATCTGGGCTTCTCATAAAGCAGTACGGCACGGGCTTTTAGGGCCGGAGCTGGCGGTTCTGGAGGGGTGGTCGGGTTGCGTTTGGTTTCTTTGCATCACCTAAAGTGCTGCTGTTTCGATTGAGTTTCGGAGGGAGCCTATGCAGGCCTCAGAGAATGAATCGCTGGTTGTCCTTGGTCACGATCTTGCTGCTGCTTTTTGGACAATTCATTGTGGGTATTGTCTGTGTTCCATTTCGGATGCTTGCGGCACTCCGTTGAGCCGATCTCTCTGTGAACGGCACGTGTTGACCTTGGCTCAAGCTGCTAGCTTGCGACACGAGCCTTACTACGCCTGATCTTCTTTTGCGGAAGCTTGAGTCTTCTCGCACCTTCCTTGTCGCAACCCTCTCTTCCTTGACACCATTCCCGTTGCGCGCAGAGTCTCTGCGCACAGACCGGAGGGCCGAGTCCCCCATGGACGAGAACGTCGCTGGACCGTCCGATGCTCTCAACGGCAGTATCGACGGTGTGAAAGAGGAGGGGAAGCGGACGTGGATAGGCGGGCTGCGGAGGCGGCGGGGCCGGCCGGATGACGACGACGAGGAGGACGATGACGTCAGCGAGCCGAGCAGCTCTGGGGAGCCGGGAAAGCGGGCGTCCAGGTAAAGCTTGGGATGGTCAAATTTTAAGATTCGAAAATTTCGGGTGTTTATCCAGATTCAATCTGGGGAGGTTTTGCTTTTCAAACACCAGAATTTTGCGTTTCCGGGCGTTTGCGCTTTGATGAGAATGTTTTGGGGAGCTCCCGTTGACAGTACAGCCGTTTGCGGTAAACCTGCTTGGAAGCCCCGACGTGTTCCTTGCGGTTCTTGGTCGTGAGTGTCGATACCGATTCGTCATTTCGGGCGGCGAGAACCCCCTGGAAAAGATGGAACCGTTTCAGATTTTCCAGTGTTGACGGCCATGGTTTTCCAGTTTTCCCTCAACTCCTCATCTTCTTTGCAGGCGACGCCCAACCAAACGGCGCCGTAACGCAATAGATGATTCGTTGGTGGGTGCAATTCATCCACGCTTTTCATAGTGTCACCTCAAACCCTCATATTCTTCGCAGGCGAAGCCAGTCAACCGGCAGCATCACGCAAAAGGTCAAAGCACAACTTTACCAAGGCTTTTCGGGTTCTCGGATCAACCCCTCTCTTCTTTGCAGGCGAAGCCCAACTAAGCGGCGTCGCGACGCGCGCGAAGACCCGTCGCCCGACGCGGGCGAGGTGCAGAGCTACCGGGGGCACCGCAATGCGCAGACGATCAAAGGCGTCAGCTTCTTCGGGCCCAGCTGCGAGTACGTCATGAGCGGGTCCGACTGCGGGCGCATCTTCATCTGGGAGAAGCGCACGGGGCGGCTGGTTAACCTGCTCAAGGGGGATAACCACGTGAGAAAATCAGATTTTGTTTGCTAGTTTGCTGAGTGCCATGGGGATTTTTGTTGGCTTGTCTAGGGCTTCGGAAGAGTTTGGGTGCATTTTCGTGTATTGGCAGAAGCGCGCCAGGGGCGGCTGGTCAAATTGCTTAAGGGCGATAACCACTTAAGTTAAGCTGAATTTATCAGCTGGCTTGCTGACTGGGATGAGATTTGTTGGCTTGTCTGGGGCTTCGGAATCGTTGGCGTCTTTGGGGGGCGTTCATGTTTACGGGCAGAATCGCACTCGGCGCGGCTGGTCAATCTGCTCAAGGACGATAACGAAAGCAAAGCTGATGCTTTTGCTGGCCTGCTGAGTGTTTCTTGGATTATATGGGTGTCCGGCTCTGGATACCGGAAAGAAACCCTTCTTTTTGGCTTGCTGAGTGCCCCCGGGAGGATGATCCAGATCTTGTTGGCATGTCGAGTGCGTCGAAAGACCCAAACGTCTCAGTGAGAGCATCGTTCATGTGACAAAAATTGCTCGGGGCGGGGGGTGAAGGTGCTCAAAGACGATGTGGAGTTTATGTTGGAGACAATGGTTCTTTCTTGAATGATCTTTTGGGTGATTAGGTTCTGATTGTGTGTCTGGAAGCCTGGACAGTTGCGTCTACCAATTTGTGCTGTTTTCGTGGGCGCATGTTCCATTCTGAAGACGCGAATAGCGGCTAGTCAACCTGCTATATGAACCAACCACGCAAAAGGACTTTGAGACCAAGTCTTTGCGTGTCATCAGCCGGTTGAGTCTATCGAACGCATTCAACGTCTGCGTAACAGACAAACCAGGGGCAATGAGTACGGCACTCTACATTGTGACACTTTCGGTGGTGCTTGCCCGTTGAAGAGATCCGGACATGACCCTGCTCATAACCCTGAGGTTAGGCTGACACTTTCGTTTCTTTTAGCTCGGGCTGCTGCTTTAGCGGCGAGGCGTCTGGTAGCGTAGCTAAAACCGAATAAACGTAGTGACATTCTTGCCGGCGCAACTGCGAAGAAACGCACAAACTTCTGGTCACAGAGAGGATAAGTGGCTGAGGTTCAGCGTCGATTGGAAACGGCGGAAAGTGTGATAGCTTGTGTTCCTCCAAACCAATCGAGTGGCTTCGATCGATCACGTGGCTTGAAAGTACATCCTTGGTACCCCTTTTTGGCTGGACGGAATGTGTACATGCTCGCGGATGGACGGGAGACAAGAAGCTGAAAGTTGAAGCAGTTTCTGGTCGACGCCAAACCCAACGTTCGCCGGACGTCATCCGCTCCCGTACTGACGTCATGCTCCTGGACACGTGGCAGGTGGTGAACTGCCTGGAGCCCCACCCCGGGGCGACGATTTTGGCGACCAGCGGAATTGACAGCGACATCAAGATTTGGACGCCCACTGCGGACGAGCCGCAGGGCCTGCCTGCGGACGCCGAAAAGGTGAACATCTTGAAAAAGATTATAAGCTCATCATTATGAAGAGGTCACCGTACTGGGACGGGTAGGGTTAGTTGGTGGTTTTGGGGAATGTCCGGGTTAGGTTCTTGGTGCTAGATGAGGCGTATCAAGATTTGGACGTCCATTGCGGACGATCGGCAGGGCCTGCCTGCGGACGCCGAAAAGTTTGGCATTTTTAAGAAATACCGCAGAATACCCGCTTTTGAAGAATGAGACGTAACTTAAGCAAAAAGCTCAGCGAAGACTGCTTTTTGGGTCTGAAGAAGTGGCTCTGTCGATCGTTCCTTTTCTTCATGTCACTTATGTTTCCTTCATTTCTCTTGTGCTCTCTCTCTCTTGGCGCTAAGATTACTAAGAAGCTAAGGTGGTGATAAGGTCAACCGCATCGGGATGGGTAGGGCTAGTTGGTGGGTTTAGGGTGGGTACGGGTGCAGAACGAAGCTCCGGGTCTATTTTTGGCATTTGTTGAGGCCATCGTAATTCGGACGTCCACTACGTGCGAGCCACAGGGCCTGCCTGCGGACGCTGAAATGGTCCGCAGGCCCGACACGGGTGACCTTCCCTTTACTGGAAGAAGCTTCTCAGAGCGTCTGAGTCAGCTCTGGTCCGCAGACTCGATTCTTTGAGCTCGCCCGTGGATGCTTTGTGTTACGGGGGATCCAGATGGAGTAGTAAACGTGCTCAGAAGTTTTGGAAATCGAGCGGCTCGCGGATGAGACGTGATAGACACTTCCATTGGGAGTGTCAGAACCACGTGGTTCTGTAAAGCTACAAGCAGACGAGTTATTTAAGATCCATTTGGAATCATGCCGGGCCCGTTCTTCCTCTCTTTCTCATGCACTGTCTTCAAATCTTTACGCGTGAGCCCCAAGCAAGCGAGGCCCTCAGCCTATGTCGTCTCGCCACGTGGCAGATCATGGAGGCCAACACGCGGCGACGGCAGGACCGCCTCTCCCCGCTGCGCACCATCACGCCTGCCGTGCTGCTGCGAATCCTGAACCTGCGGCGGCGCGCCGCCGAGCTGCAAGGTTCGGGCGGGGAAGACGAGGTACGTCTTCCGGAATGTCCGGGGGGTCTAGGTCCTTCCTTTTCTGCTCGTCCTTTTAGGGGTGCCAAGCCTGGTGGATGTGTGCACCTATCCGGGTTTGTTCGTGAAAGCATCGTTCTGTTTGGAAGATCTCGTTCCCTCTCGTTCCGTTGGAGTATTGTTTTTGAAAGTTGGCGAAGCCTAATCGTTATTTGGGGCCGTATTCTCTTTTTCTGATGTGATAGGCAACCGTCCGTAAGGGGGTACTTAATTCATCGGAGAAGGAGCTGCCGTTTCCACAACACAATTTACCTGCAATAATCTTTGAGGAGTTCTCTGATCGGATTTGTCGAGGGGCTCGTGTCCCCTTCGAAGAGAGAGGAGTCAAATAAGAGCGAAGATTTAGCGCTTGACATGGTAAGGCACCATATATTCCGTGGGAGAAGTTTGCCAACAATTGCCTGTGTCTGCCCTTTCCACTCAGCCCTCAAAGTTCTGGAACTTCCTCGCAGGACCGGGAGGTATTCGTCTTCGGGTCCGAGAGCGATGCTGACGTGGACGATGACGAGGATGATGACGATGAAGATGACGACGATGATGACGACGATGACGCGTCAGACTCGGAGGAGGAATACGGAGAGGGAGAGCAGGGGGGTGAAGGAACGGCGCCCCGGCCAGCGGAAGAGCCGCGGGCCGAGGAGCGACGGGAAGAGAGGAGGAGACGACCCACACGGGTTCGGGAGGAAGATTGCGCTGTGCAGTGATAATACCCGGGGTATCGGGACATCCTCTATAATGCCAGATCGGGGCTGATGTTAGGTAGGTGCGTTTGCGGAGAGACTAGGTGCAAAGAGGGGAAGAGGTGAGGTGCCGGAGAAGCTTTTTTGCCACAGGTGTCCGCATCTATGCGGCATCCGAACGCGTTTGGTACCTCATATGCAAAGGCAACGCCGTACTGATCTAGGTCGTAAGCGGGATAGATGTACATGACTAGTATTCATAACCAGCATCGTGGGCAACATCAGCGTAGGCCAAAAGGTTGGAACTTGTTTATATACATGAGTCAGATTCCGAGGCTTCAACTTACTGGAGCTGTTAAAAGCCGGGGGAGCTTGAGTTTTGAGCAGTTTCATGTCGAATTATACGATAAGCATGGATTTGACCGTGCGGTGGGTTTTGTTAAGTTAACGTGTTGCCTGCATGCGCTAGGCATGGCTACCTATACAAGAGATTGCGCGAATGATTTGAAGCATGCTTGTCTCGGTTGTAAGTGCATGATGATGGCACGCATGATCGACATACGGTATGTTGTCTCGTGAGCTCAATTGAGTAAGCTTTTGTAAGCACTCCAGTTACTATTTTTCATCCACTCTAGTTAGCTCGGTTGGCATCTCACGTGGTTGGCGTGCGTGTTTGAGTCAAGGCTGCGGCCTAGTACATCAAAGGATTCGACGGTCATGCAAATCTACGATTTTACAGGCTAGCCAAACTTCATGCGTAGCCGCCCTCACTGACCGAGATCATTCATATATCAGACATGATATTGAGATGGGGTCAAAATAGGGTCAAAATGAGGCGCTACAGTCATGAGCTGGCTTATGCTAGCACAAAGCCATGATCTCGAAAGCAACTCGGCTTATTGCGGCTGGACCTGTAGCATTTCTAGGCTGCAAGGGGTCTTCAGATGGTCCGGTCACCTTTGAGTTTAAACCTCTTTACAGTGTACTGGCCGTGTGGTCTTTCAGTCCGCCATGTATGGTACGCACTCCATGTCATGCTCAACGGTTCATGCTGCTGGCATGTGAAGGCTCCTTAGGTCAACCGTCCCTCTTGATTGTCAAGCTGTAAAAACATGCAGCGGCAGACGTTGCGATTGACTTACCTTGATTTTGCCCTTGACGAACGAATCGCGTATGCGGATGTGTGATAACACCACGCTATTAACATCAATCTCTAAAAAACAGGGTAACAATAAGTCAATTCAATAGCATGAGCAGATGCTAGGTAAACCAGTCATGTTGCTCTTACTGCCGGCTTGAAGTATAGTCAAGTAGCCAGCCCCATGCAGCAATGATGAGAATTCATTAATTATTACCAACTCGGCTTCTGCTAGGCTGCTGAATGCCTGGAGTGGATCCGCCATCATGTATCGGACATGTCTTGTGTGTGCTAAAACACCTTTGGAATTACTCCTCTCTGAGAGGACCCGCTCCAGCTGACAATCAAGGAAAAAGGCTCCACCTTACGGAAAAGCTCATGATTGAAATCCAAACATTGCCAAAGGCTGATTGCAAAGCTGGTCATATTGTCATCTGCAGTGACTGCGTGTGTCGGATCAATGTTGAATAGCTCCGTAGCTCTAGCAACGGCTTCACGCAGCGAACTCAGTGAGGACCGCCGACGCATGGCCAATACTTTTTAGGCAACAAGGCGTCATCAAGTGAGACGCCTCCCCCGTCAACCATCTCGAAGCTGCTGTAGTCTCTCCATCACTCTAAGTCTGTGACTAATTTCGTACTAACCCGATGATCAGCAGATCAGGCTGACTCGGACGACGTGATGCAACGTCGGACGTGCTAACATATAATGTGGCCAATGCAGACGATTGAATTCTGCACATTTTCTCGCTGAAATGATCATTCGTGAAGGTGGGGAACATTAGAACAGGAAACAAGGAAAAGAAAGAGAGAGACAAGATGAAAATGAATCAGTCATGTACGGAGAGTGTCCTACGTCACGGTTGTGCAAATCAATTCAAAGGCTCAACGGCAGTGAATGTCATGCTCTTTGAAGTCAATGATATTACAACCGGAAGTTGCGGCCGTGACAAGACTTCCGCCACCTTTGTAACGCAGAAAATCAAAATTACCCTATCGAGGCTCGTGCGATCCCGCAGCTCTTCAACTCTTCAGCTCTAGGTAAATCGAATCTCGCTTTGATCACGAATCATGCTTTAGCCTGAATTCTGTCATAGAGAATGCCTTAAAGTAGGATCCGGAGGGATACCTCTTTTAGTGTGGGGAGTCTTAACTCGATCAGTCGACAACTCGACTACCTTATATATGCTGGCCTGTATTATAGTGTATAGAGTCTGGAGTGGAGTCTGGGGTCTTGCACATGTCCCGTCAAAAGACTCGCAGTGGGAGTGTGGCTCGTGACGCTGCCATGCGCTGTCACACTCCTAGTAATACCTACTACGTGGCACCTGCAAGTCACTGCTGCAGTAGTACGTGTATAATGCACCCTAAGCGCTTGGTAACTGGTTAGCTGGGTCACGACTCACGCCGGGTGCCTGAACTCTGGACTGGGAATTCCGAATCCCCTTACAAGTTACCATCCGAAAGTAATCATTGAATGTGCACACGTTTTACCCGCTCATGTTCCTAACCGCAAAACGCGCAGGCTTTATTCTGACAGGTACATGTGACTCGTGACGCTTTTCATGACGTGAGCCGGAGACGGTTGTTTATGAATTTGAACCGGGGCTTGAGCGCTGGGCGGTATCAAGCTTGAATCTTGGCACTGCTCTGAATCTCATTGCTTGGCAACGAAAACCTCCACCTAAACCATCTTCGTCAATATGCTTGTACTCGGGTATTGTCGAATTTGAGAACCCACAGGTATTACAGTACCCCGATCGGTGGTGTTAAGACGTGAGGGGATACGGTAGAACCCCGGGCAACATCGCCCGGCTGCTCCCGCGCTGGGACATGCCTCTGAGATCTGCCGGCGTCCCTGAAGAGGGATGGCAAGAACTTCTCGGTCACAGGTTAAAGGCGGCCTCGCACAAGATCCAACCAAGGGTTTCATACTCATGCAGTGTCCAGACCCCAAGAGGCTGGAGCTAGAGTCGGAGACTCGGAGGCAGGGGGACCACACGCCAGCCAAAACCTTTTAAAAATGCAACCATTTTCTGAGCCGTCCGATGTGGAAATCTATATTTCCTGAACGGTCAATATTACATTCTGAAGTGATCCGAGCGCATATGTGCTGTTCGGTTGGTCAAAGGAGAGAACTTAACGGTAGTATAATAGATTGTTAGAAGTTGGTTTAAGCATACATTTGCCTGTGTAGATACCCTAACCTGCCCTTAAACAATTCTAAACGGCTGCTTGCCCGGACCCTAAAACCCAGCAGAGGTTCAAGCTGACCTTTTGGGGGCCTAATCCCGCCATTGCCCGGCTTTGGGCAAGCAATCGTTTCGCTGCTGGAACATGGATCAGGCTGTAAAACATTTCACCTGGGTGTTTGGCCCCCCTGCCGTTACCCTTCCAAACTTTCAGCATATCATTTCTGACACGAACACGTGTTCGCCGTTCCAAAGCTCCCAACTTCCAGGCATGGCGGTTGAAATCAATTGTCAATCGCAAGCCACCCGATCCCCAGATCTCCAATTTCTGGATGATATTATATATGCCCTAGAAAGCCCGTCGGGGCCGGGGACGGGTTGAGTTGGCCATGGGTTAATCTCGTTTGGTAAGAAAGGTCTGACAAAAATCTGGTTACGCTTTTGTTGTCCTCGCCCGGTAGATGGCTTGGTGAAAAGATTAGTCCAGCTTTTATACAGCTTGTATTTATAGTACCGTATCTCTGTACCAAATCTCTGCTCGGTAGAAACTTGGGCCAGGAGTATGGTCAGGACTCAGGAGTCAGGACTCGGGGGCCAGCTAGGGCTCAAGGGTCCACAGCATGTACACAGTACAGTCGTGCACATTGCACAGTGCAGTGTGCACTGTCCATCTTGTGGTTAGGAAAACCATCCATCTGGAAGCTTTGAAAATGCATCTACGGTATTATCTTTAACCCTCACTAAAGTACGAGCGAATTGGCGACATTCCCATTCCTTCCAAGCTGCCTGAGGCTCATAAGCCGACGCCATCGACGCGGCGTGCACGCCCTATCTACCAGGCAGAGCTTTCTGAGTGCATTGCAGTAGCAGGTGTTGCGGCTAGAGCTGGTAGCCCTGCCAGCCAGGTCAGCTCCTGCGTGGACTGCTAGGCACTGTGTAATAGGGTGCATGACATTCTTTCGCTCTTCATATCTGAAAAAGCGCTTTCAAAAGCGGTTCAAAAGCCACGTGGTACACTTCTTGAGAAGAATCTTCAAGGAAGAGTCCGTAGGCAGCCGAAGCGAAGACTGCGAAGTGCACGCTTTGAGGGATGTGCACACACTTTCGGTCGAACGCTTCGTGAAAAGGCGCTTTACCTTTAGATCTTTGTCCCTCTCACTTTCGTCAGAGCATTAGCTACGAACATATCTAGACCAATGCTAAGTTTGAAAGGCGCCTCTGCAGAAAAAATCAACCTCCGATTGAGTTTATTGCTCAGTTACAAAGTGTATCACTTCTCTCAGTGGGACAAGATAGAGCCATCCTTCCTTCATGAGCTGCCTGGAAGGAAGTGGGGCTTACCTGCCCAGTCATACTAAGTTACTTTGAACCCTCCAGACAAACTCCGATGGGCCTTATCTGGCTTGATATGGTTGCGCTTTCCGGGGGAGTTTGATTGGTGATGGCAAGGTGAATCAATGAGCATCATCGACAGATGTGGTCGCTTTTCTTTGTCTCGGGGAAGATGCCCAGACAACCAAAAGCCAAGCAGACGCGGCAGAGTCCTCGTTGTCAGCTGAAAAGCAAGGACATCTCTTGCATTCCTCAACCACAAGCCACTGGTGAAAGGTCAAGCCCGCGCTGAAGCTCTCACTTGTCAAGGGTGGCAACAACATACCAGACAGAAAGGCTCAGCATAGGAGCGCTCAAAGGTTGGAGCTGCTTCAAGCTGCTTCGAAGAATTGCAGAAGCCAGAATGGTACATTTCAGCACCTTTTCAGCCAGCTGATCCAGAGACTCCCCGCTCTGATGTTCTCTTTCGGTGCCTCATAAAACTGGTCCACAGGGCCCCTAGCCCCTTCCCCCCCTTCCCCCTCCCCTGGGAAGCAAGTTCCCCCATTCAAATGTCGAACAGCAGCGGGAACTCCCAGGACGACCAGTCCTGCATCACGAGCTTCCAGGGGGGTCCTCCTGCCAGGGAGGCAGCCCCCTCTGCGCGGAGCGGCACCTGGTCAGGGTGGAGGGACTCTGCAGGGCAGCAGCAAGCGTTGCAGCTAGCACGCCTCTCGCAGGTAACTCTTATATTGTCTGAGGACGTTCAGGATGCTCTTTACACTGAACCTGTTTGCCCCCTGGTCTCCAGGCCAACTCTTACCTGCCCCTACAAATTTTGCACTGTCCTTGCCGCAGTGTTTCCGACTCAAACAACCTCAGGAAGAGGACAGTGATTACTTTGAACGACCAACAGAACTTCAGAAACAACCAAATCATCAGCGACTTGGGTCATGATACCAAGGAACCTTTGCCCTCTGAGTTTGATTACACCAGCGCAAACGTTGGACTCTGCATCTGCTTCCACCTAACCTACCAGACAGACTGCATGTTAGCCCCAAGCGAACAACCTCTAATCAACTCCCTACTGACTTTTGCAGTTGTACGGCGCGTTGCACCAGCACTACATGCTGAGCTGTCCGTTTGCAAGCCTTGAGAGCGGGAAACGCGTCCTGGTGAGCTGGCTGTGGGAACCGACGTGCGAGAAGGGCGTGGTGGACGTCCTATTCAAGTCAGCGTCTGAAGTAGCGTCCGAGCTCGCGGAATTGCGCAGGGGCACTGTCGACGATCACGGGTGAGATGTCCTTTGAACGGTGTGAACAGCCACGTGTGCTGAGCTCAGCCAGGCCCCTCATCACTTCTGACTGGATAAGGAGGATGTTTGCATCGGGCTTTTGAGGGGCGAGGATGTGGCTGTCCTTCGTGCAGGTTGCAAGGCTGTGGGTGCACTGATTCCTGAGCTGCGTTGATCTTGCCAATCTGCCATATGCAACTCTAAGAGATTGTAAGAGATTGTAATCAGTGAAGGACAAAGTATGAAAAGCAGACTCCCTGATCACAAGCTCCCTTTGGTCTGGTCATATGTCCATCTGTGTCCTCCTTTCAGTTAGAAAAGAAGGAATTAACTTCGAGGCTTTCTCAACTCCTCCCCTCCTTTTCCCTTCTACTCTGACGACCTGATTCTTTGAACAAGGACGCCAGAGTCTCTTACTGAGTCACTTCTGGGTTGGTTCACGTGATTGTATTGTCCATTATGATATTCCCGAAGACCGAGGAGAAGTACTGTTTATAAACAGGCACATCATTTCAGCAAACACAGATGCTCTGGAGCAATGAACCTTCGCTCAAGCGGCTGCGTGATCAGCCTTGCAACACGTGATCAGCCTTGATTCGTTTTTGAAGCAAGACTGAATCTCCGTCCCCAAGACCAGGCTCAACGAGAGGGTTTTATGTGGTGCGCTGATTCCCGAGCTTGAAGGTGATCCGAAGGTGCACATAGGCTACTCCCGTTCTGACAAAAAAGACCGTGACGTGACAGGAATGAGGGAGTCTGGCTGCAGCTGTTGGCAAAATACACAGAGGCAAAGGTTCAGAGTAAACTGCACGCACTTAGAGACGTTCTGCAGAATAGACTCCTCATATCTCAACAAAACGACTTCCATTCTTATCTCCTTTAGGAAGGCGCCTGGGCTTCTGAAATCCTCTCGTCACGTATACATCTTCGAAATCAAGCTATGCCCTTCCAACCAGCGACCGCTTCCTCAGGAGCCCCACAATGGAAACCTGGACCTTCCTTGGCACACCCATAACCTGTTCGCACTCACGTATAAGCTATGCGCTGACCGAATTGGTTCGCTGTCTTTCAGGAGCAACGAAGGGGGCCTGCTTCAGCTGGTAGGCGACCGCGACCTGTTCTGGAGCAGCATTCTGCACTGGCATATGCACGGCACGTGCATGCCCATAGGATATTCGGTCGACACGCACTTCCGCCTGCCAAGACCGCCGTCAGCCGGTCGAGGAGACTGCCAGGCTGGCGACCCCCGTGTGAGGAGGTACGTACCAGGGAGTTTCGAGTGCTGCATTTGAGACCCGGGTTGAGGTCAATCTTGAGATGGATTGACCGAAACGTCTGCACACGAAGAAACTTCTTTTTGAGATGAAGAACGATCGGGGACATTAGGATAAGATTGACCTCTAGTCAAAACACCCCTTTTTCTGATCAAACCTTCCCTCTTACTCAAGAGCACGCAGTCGATGCACCCCGATCAACTTCGACAGTATTCGTTATACGGGTTTTCATGATTCACGGAAGGTGTTCTTTAAACATGAGTTTCCATCTTTTACGGAGGGTCTCACCAAACCTCTTCCCTATGCAATCTGCTCACGAGTTTCCTCCATTGCTCTGCGAGAGCAAAGGAGATATTCTGTTTCCGCTGGATGAAATCTTCCGCAACAACTCTCCTCCCTGCCCTGTTACGATTACAACGCACGCCCTCTCACAACTTCAAAGGCTGCTCGAGCGGAATCTTAATCAAGCTTTCTCCCATCTTCCCATCAAAATGTGCGGATCAAGTTCCATCTCATCTTCCTAAAATGTGCTGATCGAGTCTCCTCTCATCTTCCTTCCAGGATAAACGAGGTTCTCTCCCTCCCCTGGATCAAAGTGCCCGGGGAGCCCCCCCCGCCCCCTGAACCGGTCCTGTCGCGGCCGCCGGGCCGCACCGACCTGCCCCCCGGGTGGCAGGACGCGCGCCGCGCGTGGGACAAGGCCTTCGAGCGCGCGTCGCGCATCGGGTACAACGTCCACTGCATGTTCTACTGCACGCCCACTGGCTGCGCCGCGGGAGGGCTGTGCCAGTTGCGCCACGACGACAAGAGGTGTGAAAAAAGCTCCTTTCGTTGACGATCTCTGTGTTTGTCTCATCGCGTGCTGTACGCAAGGTGTCGAGGAAAGAACGAGAGAAAGCCTGATTGAGATTCCTTCACTTTCAGATCCATTGATCAGATTAGACCTCAAATTGTCAGCTTTTATTTCATGCACACCTCTTGCCACCGAACGGCTCATGTTCGTGCCAATGAAGGCCTCGAAACTTCGCTCCAATCCCCTTCGGGGGCGAAGAGCGCCTTGAGCCGTGCCATGGTACCACCTGCCCTCCGTCTACCACGGACGTCTCTTTTCTCTCTCAATGTTGATCATGACTCAGAAGCTCCCAGTGCACACACGATTTTACGCAAGTAGCTGGAATCGAAAGTCGCTGACCACTTTGAAGTTTGCACAGGGACTCATATGGTGTGCATCTATCAGCGGGCCGCTTTTTCAAGGAGGACCTACTTCCAGTAAGCTTCGCAGCCCGGATGACAATTGTCGTTCTTCTCTTCAGGCGCCAGCGGTGTGAGTCCCACTCGGCCCTGGAGCGGTTTTCCCGCCCCCCCCTCCATCGCACAGCCAGCGTCGCCCCCACCACGGGGATCACCGTGTGGGCTCCCCACGCAGAGGCCGCCCGCGTTTCGCGGAGGATTCTCCCGGCGTATAATCAGGGGGGGAGTCAGGGCAGCTCCAGCGGGGGAGACGTCCTGTAGCATATACCGCTAAGCTGTCGTATAAGCTCTCAACAAATGGCTGCACGAAGTAACTCAAGCGCAGATGCGTTGACGGTCCGAATTGGGGAGGTATCGGGAGGTACGGCGTTGTGTTGACTGTTGGAAATCAGGGTTCCTCATCAGGTGACCCGGTTTGACTGAGCGATATCAAACGGACGTATACTAGATTACTGCACTAGGTATATCAGTTAAGCATACGATAGAGTTTGTTGGGTGTGCCTCTATAAGCACCCGGCTAAAGTCATGTCTGTTCGTCACTGGAGCCTGCTGCTGACGAGATTTGCTTCCCTTTTGTTTTCTAAGCTTGCAATTGGTTCAGATAGCGATGAGCCGGGCGTATCAAGGACGCAAGAAGCGACCGAACAATCTAGGTCTAAACAAAGGTATCAACCTCTTGACCTAGACATATTTTGCGTATTAGTTTGAAGTTGGCTTGGATCTCCCAACGGTCGCTTAGAAGCAATCAACAAGCGAACCAAACCAGTCAACAAGGATGTAGAATAACCCAGACTCCTGTATAAACAAATTTGTCATTAAGGTAGATCATGTTGTCGCATAAGTTTCACTCGGGTAGTAATCTGCACGCATCGTCAAGGGGATACTAGTATCCTAAAGATCGGCATACCTAGATCATCAAGAAGAGAATACCGAATTGAGGTGTTCGGTGATTTAGCACTAATGATGCAAACGTTGGACACGACTCGGCATTCTGATATCAACTACCTTGTTTCCCCCTTGTTTTGAAAGCTTGTTGCTCAATTTCATCAATCAGAAGCAGGCAGGCTGTCAAACTCTACGATTTGGAAGCTCCTGGCCTCACTGCCTTGCGAGCCTATGATGAACCTTGGTATGCTTGCGCGCGCCAGCCTGCGATCGCGACTTGGTGCAGATTGTAAGCCCTCATCAACATGTGCTTGCCTGCTGACTCTCCCCCACAATCAAACAGTAACGGCGCACGGGGACGGCTTTGAAGTGATCCGATCTGGCAAAGATGTCGAAGTAGCCTGAGTATACATTGTGGTGGCCCGCTAAGTATCAATCATCTGATAGCTAGTATACATCTTTGAACAAGCAGAACCAATCAACCAACGGTGACGGTATGAGTCCGACCGTCACAGGAGCAATCCGACCGTCCCATCATCCAACCGGCCGCCGCCCGCCGTCCGTCGGATCGGACCGGCATAATCAGGTCATACATCCCGGAGTCACAAGCCGTTCGATGATTTCAATGTCCACTTAAAACCGTCGATCTCAACCACATTGCATTTTGGAAATGTCCGGGGGCGCTCGCCTAATCAACCCCGGATTCCAATCCCCTTTAAGCTTCAGTAGACTTGACGATCCTTCCCGCCAACATGATAGATATCAAATATC